CGTCGTCGTCGTCGCTGCCGGTGCGTCTTCTGCGTGCCTTGTTCGTATCGAGAAATTCTTGTGTAGACGATTTCGCCCATGAGTTCGATCCGAGAGGTCATGCAGATGGTCATGTCGGACACCGAGTCGGAGACGGACGTCCACCTTGGCGGGTCGCCCAACGACCAGCTCGCGTGGCTCCACACGGCGCGCGAGCGCACGGCCGAAGTCCTCCAGCAACGTACTACACTACCACGACAAATGATCGACGGGTCTATCGAGAGGTCGCGTAGGCAAGCAGAGCAAGAAGCGCTACAGTTTGGCCGCCGACAAGTTTCACAACGAGCCGAAAACTGGGTTGCGTACGCGCAGCAACTCGGGCTCTTGCCGAATCCCGTGACGGCCGAGTCGGTCGCTGCCTTCTTCCACACGACACCTGGTACATTATCGACTTGCTGGCCTTTCTTGTTGATGTAAATGGCTCCCTAGGTCTCGACAAGACCAAGGTCGGCGAGTACCTAGGGGAAGGACCTGAGGACAAGTACCCGTTCCACGCCCAAGTCCGCGACGCCTACGTCGGTGCGTCTCGGATGCATGTCGTCGTATCCTCATGGTAGGAATGCGACTAGGCATGTTTGACTTTAAAAAGACGACCTTGGACCAAGCGCTGCGGCTGTGCCTCTCGAAATTCCGGCTCCCGGGTGAAGCCCAAAAGATTGACCGGATGATGGAGACGTTCTCGCGAGAGTATTATCGCCAGATCCAGCTCGACAACCTCGGTAAACTAGACTCAAAGAGGGTGCGTCTGAGCCTCTCGGTGGTGTTAGACCAGCCCCTCGCGGATGCCGACGCAGCCTTCATCTTGTCGTTCTCGATCATCATGCTCAACACGGATTTGCACAGGTACACTTTTCACAAACGTTCTATCTGGTAGTACGAGGTCGCACATGTGGCGCTAGTGACCAGATCCAGCGCAAGATGACCGTCGACGAGTTTGTCCGCAACAACCGCGGCATCAACGCCGGACAAGACCTGCCGCGCGAGTACCTCGTGGCACTCTACAACAACCTTCAAGCCAACCAGATCAAGATGCAGACCGACGTCTCGGATCTCAACACGGACGACGCGATTGCGACGGTGTGTTCAACACGACTGTATCTATCGTAGATCTGATGCGCGATGTGTAGGTCGACCGGTACTCTGCGCAGTGGGAAGGGGTGCTGAAGCGCCAGCAAAACGTCGTCGGTGCGTCGTTTACATCGAACGCGTCCGTCCTCAAGCTTCGCGCCGGTCGCCACGAACGCGAGATGTTCCGCCTCATCCTCGACACGACGACGTCGAGCATTCTCACGGCCTTTGAACGCACGGGCGACGAGAGCACGATGGCAAAGGCGTTGGACGGCATTGCCAGCGCGACCAAGATTGCCATCTACTTTCAAATGGTGCCCGAGGTCAACAAGCTCATTGCGGCGCTGGCCGCGTACTTTGTCGAGTTTGCCCACGGCGTCATGAACGGCGAGCGGGTACTACTCGATGCTGCTGGTTGCGCCACATGTCTCATAGGACACCGCGTAGGTGCACTTGCCAACGGTGGACTCTGCGAGCAAGCGGGGCCGCGCCGGCTCGGACAAGGGCGACAGCGTTCATGTGATTTTGCGCGAAGAAGAGCGGTACCGATTCAAGCGGCTGTGAAAAATGGTGTGATTGAGTGTGCACATGGCGTAGGCAAAGCGGGCTCAAGACGAGTCGCACGCTACGCACGCTGCAGCTGCTCTTTGATGTCGTCGCCAAGTACGCCGACTGCCTCCGCCAAGACGCATGGACGTCCGTGGTCGAGTGCATTCTCATCTTCAACGAGCTCGACATTGCGCCGACATCGCTGGTCGAGATGGACGGTACGTTGAGTAACGAGCGAGGGGTGGCGTACCGGAAAGATGGCGTAGATTTCGTCGACTCGAGAGGCGTGCCACTGCCGCCAGCCCAAGCCCACCTCTCGCCGCGCGCGCAGCAGGTTGGCTGATACATTGATAGTTGTATGGTTCCATGGCGATGGCTAGTCGCTGGTGGCGGGTGTTTCGGGCAAGACGCGCGAGCGGTCGCGCCGGCTCGCCGAGCGCCAGGCAGCGCATCGCCAGCAGCGCAATCTGCAGCAAGGCGCGTCTAACGTTCCATCCGGCGGGTTTTGGGACTCGCTGTCGTCGTACCTCTGGAGCGAAGACGACGACGACGTCGACCTCAACTACCCGCTCGTGAGCAACGCGCTGCGCGACTGTGTCGCCACGTGCGGCGGCGGCCTCCTCGAGCGCGACGCGTGGTTCCGCATGTGCCGCAAGCTGAGCAACGAGAGCTGTGTGAGCTTGCTCGAGAGTCTCCTTGCCGCGCGCGACCCGTTCAAGAGCGTTTTGCAGCACTCGACAGGCATTGTCGACTGGATGATGCAGGAGAATGCGATTCTGGCGCTGGAACTTGGCATCAACCTCGTGCTCGTCAACATCCACCGGTTCCCGACGTTGTGGCCTGCCGTGCACACATACGTGGCGCGCATCCTGCACAGCAAGGCCGACTTTGAGATGACGCTGCTTGTCGAACGCGTAATGCTCCAGGTCGAGGTTGATACATTGATACGAAACGAATCCCGTAGGTCGTCGTCAATGTGCTGCGCGTGTGCATCCGGCTTTTCCACGACGACGCCGCGCGTCCGATGCTCCTCGACACGCTCGTCTTGCTCAAGGTACGAGACGACTTGATCCATTGATATATGTATATATGCATGGATGGATGATGGGTAGGAGCTCGAGGCGCCGTCGCTGCAAGTGCTTTCGGAGCGCTTGGCCGCCGGCTTGCACATGCTCGTCAAGGCCAACGCCATGTACATGCACGACATGCCTCTCTCGACGTGGGAGACCTTGTTCAAGTATGTCTATCTTTCTTTCAAAAGGACAGGGGCATTACGGATGCCTAGCCTCCTCGGGCTCGTGGCGCAGTACCCGAACGGATGGCCCGCGACCCTCGACGCGCTCAAGCAGCTCGTCGCCGACGGCGTACGTATCCTCCTCTGCGCTTTGGTAGTTTCTATTTGCAAACGATGCGGTGTGTTGTGCAGGTGGCCAAAGAGATTGTCGGGCTCTGGACGGGCGTGTGCATGCGCCTCGTCAACCAGCGCACGGGTTTGGAAGTGGACGCGCTCAAGCTTTTGTACGCGGTCGCCAATAGGTATTATCGTCTACCGATTGAGTGAATACTGACGCGGGTGGCGTAGCGACGCGGCCGACGGGTGCTGGATCGACCTCATGCGCATCTTGCTCTCGTACCTCCAGGACGAGCGCCCCGCGGTCGCCCGTGCGGCGTGGGACTGCTTGTACCGGAGTCTGATGTTGCCAGGCCACCCGATTGCACCGTTGGTGTGGAAGGACTGCTTTGAAGAAATCATTTACACGCTGGACGACCGGTCTCGGTGCGATTACCTATGCCATAGTATGCGATGTGCTCATGGCGACGTGTGGCTAGCAGCAACGGACCCGCGAAAGACTCGAAGGATCTGAGCTTGTACTCGACGACGCTCCTCTCCAAGGTGTTTCTGTACAACATCCACACGCTCGCGGGCCTCGACTGCTTCCACACGCTCTGGCTCAACGTGCTGCGGCGTCTCGCGACCAAGTTGGCGCTACCGCCGAACGCAGCGACGTCGGTCGCGGCGCTCGAAGTGTACGAGACGACGCTGCACGCACTGCACAACCTCCTCGTGGTCATGACGGCCGAGGGCATTTTTGAGCGCACGTCGGCGCAGAGCCAGCAAGACGTGCTCACGCTGTCGTACGACCTCATCCGGTCCGTGTGTCCGCAGGTCCTGGACCAGCTCCGCTTCGACTCGACCCCGTCGTCCGACGCCATGATGGACCAGAACCCGCCGCCCGGCGAGTCGGCACAAGTGGAAAGCTCAATTACGATGGAGATCCCTGTCGAGACCGAGACTAAGAACGCCGACGATGCGAACGACACCCGTGCAGAATGCTAAGCGACATGGACACGATTGCCTTTCTTCTCTGCTGTTACTCGGTGTCGGAGCCACTGCTGTAGCCGAAAAACGCAGCGTCCCATCGCGGCTGGGGCAGTGGACTCACCTGCCATGGTCGGGGCGTCGATGAACCGGTGGTGTCGTCGATGGTTTCGGGACCGGCACTGGCGGGTGGCGCACGCCGCATCTGCACACGGCGCTTGGCCTCGGCCCTCGCTTTGGCGGCTTGGTTTGCCCGGTCCGTCTCGTCCTGCACCCACCCTTGTACGTCCGAGGAGGACGCAGGGACGTCGTCACTGTTGTTGGACTTGTTGACCGCCTACGACACCATGTTCTCACACCAACCGGTTGACATTGGACGCTGGTACCGCCCGCCGGGCCACGCGCCGCTCCATCGCAATTTTGTGACGCTCCGACCGCAGCTGCGACGACTCCGTCTACGTCGATAGATCAAACGTGTGGACGAGCAATGCTGGCGTCGTACGTGCAAGGCTTGCAGCGAGGCTTCGAGCGCCTTTTTCTGGGCTTCCAGCGCCAATCGCTGGCGATCCAGGTCGAGGTTTTGCTGCGCTTTGGCGTCGCACGCCAGGTCCATGCGGCGTTGCTCTGCGGCCTGCGCCGCCGCCACGTCGGCGCGGTGCTTGGCCTCGATTGCCGCCTCGGAGGCTTTCGTTGCGCGGTATCGCTCCATGTGCTCGAGCCGATCGAGAAATGGCGTCGCACTTGGCACATGGTCTATACGAAAAACAAATCATGTCCGCGGCCTCTATCGTGCCGAGCACGGACCCTGGATGGGCCCAAACTTGGTCATGGGATCAATACGGGGCGACGGTGTTGTCGGTCGGATCGCCTCGGACGGCGGGTTGTTGGGCGGGGGCATGGACGCTGCCAAGTGCGAAAGGCTTGCGCTGCGATTGTGCTTGACGGTGGCCTACAACCGGCGATGATTCTATTGCTCCAGTGTAGCAAGACGAACGAGGCTAGGGGTAGGTTGTTTCACGGGCTTTCGGAGCCCCAAGATGGTGTGGCGGCGAGGTGGCACGCGCTCGCTCCACGCATCCGTGAGCACGCGTGGTGGCGCAGGCTGTCGTGGTGACGTCAATTGGTTGGGTGACGCCGGCGCCGGCACGGGTCGGAACGCTTGTCGCCGAATGGACTCGATTTGCAGCAGCTGCGCCTCGCGGCGCGCCTGCTGTTCTGCGGCCAGCGCGGCTTCGGCCTTCAACCGCAACTCCTTGTCCATCTATGGCAACCCAATATGACATGGTGTGTGTCGGAGCAAGGGGTCCGACTTGAATTCTCCGCGCGCGTTCTTTGGTCACGGCAATCGCGTCGTCCACGAGCTTTTGCTTGATGGCCGCGAGCTCGGCGGTCTTGGCCGCCGATGGAGCTCTACGCAGCCGCAAGCATGACAAGTGCGTTCGGAGCATCGGCTCACGCACTTTGGTTTCTTGCGCTTGAGGCGCTTGGGTTTACAAGGTGGTGTTGTCGCGGGCGCGACCTCGGGGCGCGGTGGCGGTGGCGCGAGTGGCCGTGCGTGGCATGGCGATACTAGCGGTGATCGTGCCGACAATGGAGCGGCCACCGAGGCTTCGAATGGAGCGGCCACCGAGGCTTCGAACGAGTCGAGGCACTTGTCGAGAAGCCGCGACGCATGGTCAATCGGGTCGTCGTCGAGCTCCGGCGTGGCGTCCGCCTTGGGCGTGGGGACGCGCTGGCGACCCCGTGCGTGCTGCATCACGAGTCGCATTTGAGCCTCATGGTTGGCAAAGTACGCTCCGATCTTGCCGACAATGTCCATCGTGCAAGTCTGAAACGGACGCACTCGGTTGTGGAATTTTGTTTTTCAACACGTTGAAGCGGGTTCGTTGCCACCTGGACGAAGCGTGGCTTGTCGCGGAAGGTACATCGCGAAGAGCAGAGGAGGCATTCGCAGTAGGTATTCGCTTGGCATACTTTGAGGTAGTACCTCGTGCGCGATTTAGAGCGACCTCTTGAGAACTCATTTCAACAACAGAACGACCTCTCGACCCCAGCATCCGCCAAACTTGCTGGCGTACGAATTGGTGGTGGCCTCGTTGGATTGCTGAGCTCACGTTTGACAACCGATGTTGGGAATCAGCGACTGGTGGTCTTTTCAGCCACGCTTCCACTTGGTTTTCAAGCATGTCGATTTGACCCAAGGGCCCGTTGACTTGACCACACGTACGCTCAACGCCCACTGGTTGCGCGCATGGGTCAACGGATTAGAGTGCCAGATCATGTCGTAGTCTCTTCTTGACGCTGCGACCTCGACCTCCTTGAACGGAAAAAGCGGCAGGGAATCTCACAATCGTTGCAAGGGTACAAGCGACTGCGCGCAGTATACCGTGCGTTGTATACTTTTCCAATAGCCGAGCTCGTAATAACGTTCCAGTGCACTGCATGTCTGTGGAGGGCTGTGGAGAGAGTCTGCTGTGGACGGCCTGGCGCTGGTGGAGCTGCTGGTGGCATCCATCAATCACTTCTAGACAGTCGACTGTCCAACTGAAATTTCGATAACGTCAGTAATCGGGTGCTCCTTTTCCCAACTGAGGAACGACTCTGCCACGATGCGAGAGCGCTTCGTCCAGAACAGCCTTTCCAGTTGATCCAGTTCTATGCAGGTAGATGACAGGCAAATACAAGTGACTGTGAATCAACTGAATAAGTGCTCGCTGTGTGCACGCGTCACATGTGCACTTGGTGGACCATCTCGCCTCATTTGATCTCGCACCGTTCAAAGCACAACAAAGCAGCGACATTGACAGCAGCCAGCGCATGACCTCTCGTAGCGATCTTATCAGTATTACTCGGCTGCAAGATGATGTATGCTTCAAGGAGTAATACGTCATATCGCTGCAGCCGTCTCTGTGTCAAGATGACCAGCAGCAGTAGGTGAATCCGGTGCTCTATTTCGGCATTGGGTGCGCCTTTGACGTGGCGAATCTCTGGCAACCAAACACAACCCAACAACCACGCGCAAGGATGCCACTCTCTTCTCGGATAATAACCACCACATTTCACATTTCACTTTGGACTGTACCATGCGCATTGCGGCGCGCCACTCGAGTCCCGAGGCGACGACGACCCGGTCGTCGTTCGCGTCCTCGTCGTCGTCTCGATCGTCGGTCTCGGTCCCAATGGTGACGCTGTCGCTGCCGGACGTGAGCCAGCACCCGACCACCACGGCCGTGCACATCAAGGTCCCCGAGCTCCACGGGGTGCTTCAAGAACGCAACTCGTCCAAGCGCTTTCGGTGGCTGCAATGGAAGCGCCAAAAGACGACCTCCAGCGCAACCGACTGCTGGGTCGACTTCGACGGCGACACGTGGCGGTGGTTCCCACGGACGGGTCCCGGCGTGTACAAGGCGTCGCCGACGCACGTCCTTTCGATCACGCCGCTCTCGCGCATTGACGTGGCCACCGACGGCAGCTGCTTCCAGCTCTTCGACGACGGCACAGCCTTTACGTTTTACACGTCGAGCCGCGACCAGTGCGCGTCATGGACGGCGGCGCTCGAGGCGGCGATGGTGGCCCAAGCCTTCTTGGCCAAGTACCACCTCGGGCCGGTCCTCGGGTCGGGCGGCAGCGCCTCCGTGCACAGCCTCGTGCTGCAGAACGCGCCCACGGACCTCGTCGTGAAGCTCGTCATTGGCCAGAAGGACCTCGTCGAGAACGAAATTGCCATCCTCTCCCACCTCTCGACGGCGCCGCCATCCCTGCGAGCGCATGTTCCCACCCTCGTCAAGGCCATTGACCTGCGAGAGCAGCAGGCCACCGGTCTCGTGCTTCCTCGCTACGACGGCGGGTCGCTCCACGATCGCATGCGAAGCCTTCCGCCGCTGACGGCAACCAACGTAGCCTCGCGGGAAGTGGCTGCGAAGCGTCTCATGCGCTCGCTGCTGCGCATCTTGGAGCTTCTACACGGCGCCGACGTCCTCCACCTCGACCTCAAGCCGGCGAACATCCTCTTCAAGACCCACGAGGATGATTGCACGCAACTCGTGCTCATTGACTTTGGCCTCGCGATGCGTCCAAGTGCATACGACCATAAGAACGCACTCCACGACGCCGTGCGGGGCACGCCGGGGTACCTCGCACCAGAGCTACTTTCAATGGACCACGACGGTCCGCTGCCCGTCTCGAGCGCCACCGACGTCTTCAGCGCCGGCGTTCTTCTGTACAAGTACCTCCTCGGTGTCGCGCCGTTCCAAGGAGCGACCAAAGGCCAGCTCTTGGAGCGCATGCGCCAAGGGCAGATGGTGCGCCCGAAGGCGACGTGGGCACTTCTCTCGGTCAATGCACAGGATTTTGTCATGAGCATGCTCCAGCGCAAGCCGCACCATCGCGCGTCGACGTCCTCGCTACAAACCCATCCTTGGCTCGCAACCAGCGACTAACTCTGCCGTAATTTATCAACGCCTTCTTTACTTGCGTCGTGGTCGTACCTCCGACATGGTGGTTGGCTACTTAATAGAAACTTGAAACTTGATAGAAAGCTGATATTGAACAGATACGGCCGTGCCTTGTGAATGCTCTGCTCTGCCATCGCACCCCTTCTTGGTCGGATCGGCAAGGAATGCTTGTGATTGGTCGCCGCGACGGTAAAGTTGCGTTCGTTTAGCTGTAATTTAATGTATTTTCTGTGCAGTACCGTTCAAGTGCCGTTGGCTCTCCCGCCGCGCGGACCATGGCGGTGGAAGCGCGGGTATGGACTACATGCGACCCGTGGTGTGTACGACAAGTGCAGGACGCACCGCATTGTCGATACTCTTGGTACTGTCATCGTCGGCACCTCGTGTGCGTTGGTGGACGTGACCGTGGATGTTTCTGGAAAATCTCGACTTTTCCGTAATTCAAGCCATTTGGACGCCAAAGTTGTGGCGCGCCAGAGACCAAGAACACACAGCATGTCGACGGACGAGACGCCGCAAGAGATGCTCGCGCTACCCGCGTCGACGCCGACGCCCGGCGGCGCGCCGATCAACGTCACGGCGGGCGGCAACGCGGTCGCGCTCGACCACCTCGGGCCCATGGTCGTGCAGGTGGACGGGTCGCTCATGCGCATCACCGACTGGGCGACCAAGACGGACCACGAGAAGGCCATGATCCAGCGCGTGATTGCCAAGCGCAACAAGGAGCGCTTAGACGCGCTACTTCTCGCCCAGGCTGCCGAAATGGACTAATGCACGTTGCCCTCTCACGGTCTTTGCACCAGCCAAGAACCTTCGTGGTCGCTACGAGCGGTGGAGGAGCGCGCGCCGTGGCAGGCAACGCATCGCAGGCCGAGACTATGCGGATTGTAGGGCGTTCACTTGCCACATCTTGTCGTGTTGGTCAACGTCGCATGGTAAGGTCGTCTCTGCGTGGCAAGCCAGGTACGACGCTGGGTACGACGGGCGTCGAGGCGCTCGAATGACAACGTCAACCTCCGTACTGCACAGACCGAGCGATGTCTGCACCAACGCTGGCAGTTTTTCGCAGCGACAAGTGCCAGGCACGCGATTCCGTGCAAGAGGAGACTTGCAGCATACGACGAGGGCTCGGAGCACTTGGGGGCGTCCGCGCCGCGGTATGGGTTGCAGAGACAACGCATGGTGTACATACATGCCCCCACATCTGTGTACTAGTTAGTAGGACTCAAGTCGGGTGTACCAGATTCCCCGACAACCAAACAAAATCCCGTCGTGATCGCAGCATCGTGTTCTTGTGTTTCTATCCAACTTGATACTCTACTAGCCAACTTGATACTCTAGTCGGTCTTCTTGTCCTTGGCGGCGCGGCGCGGCGTGGTCAGAGTAAAGTAGGCCAGCAAGACGACGACGACGACCGGCGGTGCAAAGTACCACGAGCTCCAGATGCGCACGCAGCGCGGCAGGTCCAGAATTTCAAACGCAATGCCAGCATATTGCATGGCGACCCACGTGCACACCATGCCGCCGAGATCGTACACAATCGCAAGCGGGTGCGCCTTCGCGGGCGAAAAGTACTCGAGAAAGACCGCGTGCGGATGCGCGTTGCGGTCTTCGCTGTAGTGGAAGAGCGGGCGGTAGCGCCGGCGAATGTCTAGATTCGACCATGAGTCCGCGCCCACGTGTACAAGAATCGAGTCGTACGCTTGGCGACTTCAATGTACAAGGCGCCCATGATGAAGAAAATGTAGTAGCCCGGCGCGAGGCCGTGCCAGAGGGCGCTGACCATGAACGACGCCAGCGTCGAGAACGCGGTCGGCTTGCCCTTGCGCAGCGCCACGCGCTGGTAGACATCTACACAGCAGCAGCAGCAAATTAAACATCATCCAACGAAGAGGCGAGATGCCGACAAGCCGCTTACAAGTGTTGAGCCACAGCGCGACCTTGATGTTCCAGCCATTGATTGCGACGCGCATGTTGACGGGGAGCTCCACAAAGAGGATGTTGTTGTTCGTCAAGCCGTCCCTACGGATATAGCGTCGACAAAGGTCGTTTGAAATATGAGACTATACCATTGGTTGCGCTCGGTCGAGTAGCCGTAGCCGGCCAAGGCGCCGCCGAGCTCGGCGAGCGACCAGACCATGTACTACAAGAATATATCTCGTAAGGAATAAGCCAAATAAGACGGTGACGTACAAAGCGGAAGCGGTACAGGGCGACCGAGAGACACTGCAAGAGGCAGCGCGCGACGAACGGCAGCTCCGGGTAGAACGTCGGCGCGTCAATCGCATCGATCGGAAAGTTGTCCGAGACGAAGAAGAGACCAATGCACATCTACAAACGCGATCAAGAATGTGCATATGGAGATATGGATGTGGAGGTACGTACGATGGCCGAAAGCAGGTTCTTGACGTGGACGGTCCACGGCGCGACGCGATGGGTCGTCGCCCACGCAAGGTACTCGTGAAACTCAAAACCAGGACCGACGAGGAACGTTGGGAAAAAGTAGATGAAGCCTACAGACACAACGTTGAAACTCAACGCTCACCCTAAAAAACATACCGAGAAGCTCGAGCAGCGATGGGATCTCACGCAGCTGGTTGCGCAGCATGGCCGGCGTCTTGATATCGTCCGGCAGCGCGCCGTCGCTGTAGCTCAGCGCAAGGCCCGTGAGCTTCATCGTGAGCACCATTTGCGCAGAGTCCCAGACCAAGTCGGGCTCGTAGTGCTCGCGGTAGTAGTGGCACCCGATCAAGTAGGCAAACAAGACGACTCCCACGAGGCGGCCAACGATCGCGCTACGCCATGCACATGAGATCGATCATGCGGCCAAGAGGCTCGATATATTTCGTACCGAGGCGCCACGAGCATGAGCATGTACGTGATCGCGATCGCCAGCACCGAGTGCACGAGCATGTAATCAAAGACAAACCAGCCGACGGCGAGGCCCAGCGCAATGTTGGCCACGTGACCTACATAGAGGAATCGATGGGCACCACGATGCGGGCAGGCAGGCGTACGCAGCGGCGCCGACGGCAGCACGTGGTAGAGCGGCGCGACTGCGCAGCAGGCTGCGAGGGCCACGAAGATGCGGACGGCGTTGACGGGCAGGCCCTCGTCGGCGCAGATGGCGTCGAGTACGGCGCGGCCCGGCACCAGCGGCGGCGGCAGTTCCATTGAAATCCGAAAATGACCACCCGTGGTGTATGCACCAATCAGCGCGCAGCAGGTTGGCGTTGACGTGAACTGTGACGTCACACGACAGCATGCATGACGCATTGCCCGACGCGGTGCCACGTCATGGCCGCGTACTACCGCTCGTTTGCTATTGTATTCGTGTACAAGTAGACAATATTTGCTGCACCACATCTTGTCTTTCGTGCGCCCCCAACGGTCGCGTGAAGCGCCGATGGGATGGCAACGATCAACCACCTATCAAGTAAACCGAAGCGAGGAGGAGTGCCCATATCGAGTACGGGTCGACACGTCGGGACGCATCGGGGCTCGCACGTGTAGCTCGCGTATGTGGTCGGTACCTTAGTGCTTTCCACCGACCAGGAAGTCGGGGTCAAGGGATTTGTTGGACAACTAAGGCACCAGCTGTTCTGGTGCCTTAGTTGTCCATGCCGAAGCAGGGGTATTATGTACCCCTGTGCCGAAGCATGCACTAATATTTTGTACTAATAGTAGCTCTGACCACGCAGCGGCTGGAAGAGTCGCATCAAACTCTGGCATCAAACTCTTGTAAAATTCAAAAATTCGGTGACCATATACATGGCGGCGACCAAGGGAAAAAGCATTCTTGGCGGCAACGTACAAGCAAGGCCGTGACCGAGGCAAGTGCACGCTTCAACTCTAATACCGATGGCCACACACGCAGGTCTCCAAAATCAACAACCACGATCATCGTTTTGTGCCGTGTCGTGATGCTAACGGTAGGTTACTATTATACTTGTATACCTCATGAGCTGTCCACACGGCCCACAGAGCGTCATGACGAGCTCGTTCGTATCGTTGATGTACATATGTATGTCCTCCTGGATGCTCGAGTGGTCGAGTCTTGTACTTGCACGCGACCAAGGGGGATAAAAATACATATCTTTGTTCAGCGACCACTGGCTGCTGGACGCAGCATGACGCCACTCTCCATCCTCTCGAGCACCGCCATCTGGTGCCAATAGGCACGGGCAACTCAACCAACCGAACACGGCGCACAACTAATTGGCCCGCACGTCGCAGGCAACACCGTCATCCGATGAGTTGTGTGCACTGAGTTGTGTGGCGCCAACGCAGCGTGGTGCTCGAGCTATTTCCAAAATTCACTCGTGGATGCACCCAACAACGCCGCCCAGCATGATGATGCCCGCGTTGTCGACGACGAGCGACGAAAAGAAAGTCTCGTCCGCGCTCGAGAAGAAGCGGCTCTACAACAAGCACCGGAATCGTGCGCTCCGGCGGCTGGAAGCCGAAGAAAAGACGCACTTGACACGCCAGATAGAGCAACTCGAGGCCACGATGGCTCACTTGCACGACAAGCAGCCGGCGAGCGCGCTCACGTGGCGTGAGATCGCCGCCGTCTTTGTCGCCGAGCTCCGCGAAAGCCAAGCGCAGGCTTCGAGCCTCCGCGTCCGCGTCCAGCGCTACGTTGCCACGCGCGAGGCACTCGAAGCGTGGTGTCAGCACATGCCGGTACAATCTCGCCGTAGCGTCGACTAGACGCACTCAGCTTGAAGTATCTGCTAGACAGGCGCCACAAATCTGCTCGCCCACGACGAAGCGCGCCAGATTGCGTTCGACTGGATTGGCCAGCGCCTCTTGCACAACGTGCCAGCGGTGCTTTTAAGCGTCGACGCACGGCCACTACGCAGCGACGGCCGTCGCACGGTCGTCGAGCCATCGGGGAACTCGTACCAGATGACCACGTGGAGCGACCGAGTCGAGCGTACAGCACTTCACGCAGTCGCCAAGGGCCTCTACGCCGTCCACTTTCAAGCCGACGGCGCTGCGATTCTGGACACGCCAGGCACCAACATGGTGTACCTGCAGTCGCCCTCGACGTTTGGGGCGCTCCGATCGCAGCCTTTTGAAGAGAACGTGCTCGTGTGTCAATGGGCCATCGATGACGCACGCTACGTCGTGTGTGCGCAGAGCATTCTGAGCGACGCGCTGCATCGGCCACGTCCTCTGGCGCAAAACTGGACAAGCTGGACGATCGCCGACCGCGTGGACGCACAGGTGACCCGTGTCGTGCGGTGTCTGACAATGGGAGGGTTGCGCACCGGGGACGGCGCGCCGGTGCCGTTTTCGCTCGAAGAGCCAGAAATTGCGAATGTCCACCCGAGTCAGCAGTGGACCTCGCTCGTGCAAGCGAGAATGGCCTACGCGCAGCACCTCGAGGCGCATCTAGAAGCGCTTCTCCAGCGCGCGCTGGCCCGCAGCGGCTAGCATATGCATGGAATTAACAGCGCTATTTATTTAAAGACGATTGGATCTGTGCTCGATCGACCGGTGGCGTTGCCGTCGAAAGCGGGTCGTGGCTGAAACACAAATATGGCGATATATCGACCTCGAGCATCAACCAAGAGTATCAACGAAGTCTGGTAAAACTACGCGAGTCGCTGTGTCGTCGATTCTCGCGCGTTGCGAGGCTCCCATCTTCATTTGAACGAGTTCGATTGCGATGTTTGCAGCGTCTTGTTGACCGCTCGCCTTGACAACGTGGTCTTAGATCATCGCATGGCTAGTCCATGTGGCGAAGGACAACACGCAGGTATGGAGCCCGCTCTTGAACGAGACCCGACAATTGCGGGGGGAAAAGCCCTTTTCAGCTACGGTTTGATTGCTTTAAACGCCAAAAACATAGCACAAGTTTTCTACGCACACTGTAGCTCGCTTGTCATCTCTTAACGACCCTCTCATCAGTGCGTGCTACCGTCTTTTTCTTTATCGTTAGCGCGGGCAAAAAGAGTGGAGGAACCGGGGGTCGAACCCGGGGCCTTCCGCATGCAAAGCGGACGCGCTACCACTGCGCTATACCCCCCCATCCGGAGGGACTACCGGAAAATGGGGCGAGGGGAAAAGAACTATGAGGCGGCGTGTCACGGAAAAAGAACGTGGCACGTCGCACCAGATGGGGAAAAAATACCAGCCGCTGGCCTTGAAAGGGGCCCTCACCCATCTCTCCCCCCAAGCACATCTCCATCAAGTGCGCCCCCAAGGAGCTTGTCCCACCACATGTTCAAGTTCCGCCCTCCAGAAAAACAGAAAAACCCATTGCCGTCTGAGCACCACCGACTGGCCCGAATAGGTAGTGCAATATTAGGAGATAGATACCCAGTAAAGTCCTTCAATCCAATTGACAATTGACAATGCGCTATACCCCCATATGGTGTTACTGTAACTTTTTAAAGTATTGCTAGTTTAATTATTTCGGAAGTGGAAATTGGACGGTTTTGCACTTGAGGCACCGCAATTTGCAGTGTGGACATTGTCTCCTATGTTATACAATATTGTCTTAAATAGAAAGCGCAGATAGAGAGCGGAAAGACACGCGGTTGACGATGGAGTACAATGTCGAGAAAGGCTGGCGGATGGGGTCGGGACATGAAATTTCACACGAGGATGCTGATCGTGAACGGATTCTCGATTCCAGTGCACTGCGCGTTGGGATTTAAACTTCCTCATTCTGTTAAGCACAGTGCTCTTTCAATAGTCTACCGTCACATGCCACGGTGTGCGATGGCGTGCGTCCAATGCGTGCGTCCCAACGATACGAGCAAGCCACACACACTAGATACGCCGTGACGTGGCAGCACGACGCGCTCCATATTTTCATCCAATCCTGTCGCATCAGGCGTTGTTTTAACCAATCCACGTCGAGAGGCAAATCCAGCTGCCTGACCAAGAAAGAGCAAAATGGGCGAGTCAGCTGTTGTCGTCTCGGTCGTGCGTGGCCGCGACCTCCGCGTCGTCCAGAAGCTTGGCGTACAGGACCCGTACGTGGTGCTTCGGCTCGGGACATCGGCTCCGCGTCGGTCCGAGACCCATGACAACGGCGGGACAGCGCCGATCTGGTACTGCACCGAGACGTTCAGCGACGTCCCGTCGCCACTGCCCGTGTTGCAGATTGACATTATGAACAACAATTGGATCCGCGACAAGCCGATCGGCATCTGCGACATCGACCTCAACGAAGTCTTTCGGCGGGCGAGCGTCGCCGAAGCGTGGTTTCCTGTCAAATTTGAAGGCGCGCGCTGCGGTGACCTGCACGTTAGGCTGCAGCGTCCGTCGTCGAGCCCTCGCACTCGCGCCACGTCGACGTCGTCGTCGTCGACCAGCAACACGGTGCTCGGCTCGATCGCCAACGTGCACTCGGCCGTCGCGATCGCAGAGCTTCGCGATGAGAACGCGCGCCTTCGCAGCGAATTGGCACAGCTTCGCCGGCTCTTGCCGCAACAAACCTTTCTCCACGCACCAAGCTACAGTACAGCGACCCGATCGCGTCTCGCCTCCTAAGCTCTTAGATCGTAGTGGCTGACATCCCGATTGTTTCGAGTGCGAACGACCTCCAGCAGCTCCGGCCGATTGGCATGGGCGCCCACGGCACGGTCTATCACGGTCTCTACAAGAACGACGTCGTCGCGGTCAAGTGCCTCGATCAAGTCGAGGACCTCACCACGTTTCACCGCGAAGTCTCGGCCATGTTCAAGTACTACATCTATATGCCGTGCATGGTATCATGCAACCCTCGGTAGGCTGCAGTCGCAGCACACGGTGCAGCTGCTCGCAATGGCCGACCTCGACACCAACCAGCCCAAGATCATCATGCCGTACATGGTCCACGGCGATTTGCGCACGCACCTCGATAAGCGCCGCGCCAACGAGCGCACGGGGTGTACGCTGCCACATCAAGCGATTGCCGTCGCGGTCGCCGCCGCACTCGTGGACCTGCACAAGTGCAACGTCATCCACCGCGACCTCAAGCCCCAAAACGTTCTTTTGTCGACCGACAATCTCGTGCAGGTCGCCGACTTTGGCATTGCGCGTGAGAACGGACTGCGCTCCAAGACGGCCGAAGTGGGCACGCCCCTCTACATGGCGCCCGAAGCCTTTGCGACGAGCCACTATGGCACCGAAGTCGACGTCTACGCGCTCGGCGTCCTCCTTACCGAGCTCGACACGACCCTGCGGCCGTACAGCGAAGATTGCGTAAACGAGTATGCGCTGTTTATGCAAGTATCCAACGGTCGCCGACCCCTCCTCTCGCTCACGTGTCCGCTCTGGTACTACGAGCTCGCGCACAAGTGCATGGCCGCGGATCCGATCGACCGCCCGACGGCCGCGCAGGTGCACAAGTGCCTCTCGCAGCACGCGAATGACCCGCACACGACGACCACCAGCGGTGTCCCGGTCATTGCGGGAACCGACGTGACGTTCGTGAGGCGGCTCTCGCCGTCGACCGAGCTGGCGTTGTACGGCTCCGACCCGGTCGTGCTCCAGACGGTTGCTCCGACGCTGGCGGATGCACGGGCGTACGAGCGCTATTTGGGCAACCTGTTCACGTACATCTTAGATGTGATGCACAAGGACTCATTCTAGTGTTGTATAGACTCGATGCGCAGCCACATCTGGTGCGGCTGGTGGGTGTCGTCGGCGGCGCCTCGTCCAAGCTCGTGCTCGAGTTTCTGGACGGCGGCGACCTTTTGACGTACCTCGAGCAGCCCGAGCCCCGACGACGCGTGTCGAAACTCAATCTTGCGATCGGCATGACGCACGGCCTCCACGCGCTTCATGCGCAGGGCATGGTGCACGGGCACCTCAAAGCCAAGCACGTCTATTTAACAGCGAGCGGTGATGTCAAACTCGCGAGCTTCAAGTTCGGGCACACCGGCACGTTCTCGGGCGATATCTTTGCGTTGGGGAATCTGTTCGCCCGCGTGGACGCTGCGTACGCCCAGCCGTCAACCCACGACCCCGTGCTGGCGTTCATCATCCAGCGCTGTTGCGCCGACGAGCCAGCAGCCCGACCATCAACCACCGACCTTCTTGCGTGCCTCGAGTCGGCGTCCGTCGCCTGAACTCTGAACTCTCGGTTCTTTATTGTCTCGTAGCAACGTCGACATGTATCCATCTTCCAATCAACAGTTTTCCCGCCAGTTTTGGTCGTTTGGAACCCCACCCTCTACAACCCTAGTTTTTGTTCCGCCGCCTCGCGCGCCAGGGTCGTGACCACCAGAGTTTCGGCTACCTCGGTAAAGAGACTCTTCAGTCTTTCCTGAGACGTAGTACGCCAGCAGGGACTCGGACACAATGTACTGGCATGGGTATCATCATCATAATCAACATTCTACAGGGTGTTTGACGCATACAAAGAGAGTCGTCTACTATCGTGTCGGTGGCGTGCGTTACCGCGGCGCGGCGACGGGGCTGCCCACCGGGCTCGGCTCGGTGCTCATCGAATCGATGCGCGCGGTCGCGTTCTCGTACCGGATCTGCGCCAACGTTTGTTGAAACTTGAGCACGTCTTGCGCAAAGATGCGCTGGTGGTACACGTGCGTCTTGTGTTCAAATTGCCGAAACTGCACGACCGGGTCATTCGAGAGCACATTTGTCGACGGGTCCTGGTCGAACGGGAGGTACTGGTCCTTCATGCGGAGGCCGTTGGCGACCGAGACTTGCTTGATGATGACGCGGTCGTGCCCGAGGCGCTCGGCGATCGTCCAGTTGGTCCAGTTGCGCTGGATGCGGTCGAGCGGGTACTTTTCATCGTCCGTGATGCTGTGGGTGAAGACCACGTACCGGTTCTCGTCAAAGAACTGGCGCGCGAGGATGTTTTGAAAGTACGCGTTCTGCTGCGTCGCCCCGTACGGCGACTTCATGCGGAAGTACATAATGTTGGGGTCTGGCATGTCGAGGAGCCCGTCCGGCGTTTGAAAGTAGAGCCGTTGGAGCGTCTGCGTGACCTCGTCCAAGGTCGCATACTCGATGCGCTGGCGGGCCTTGATGAGGTGGTACGACGGATCGTTCTCGAGCGGGAAGACGTGGACTTCGCTCACCGGTGCCATGGACGCCGGGAGCCCGCAGTGCTGGATCATCGCGTCAATGTTGTGGTACAGCTGCTTGGTGATCCAGTCAAAGCCGAGCCGCCGCGAGCTCTCGTGGGCCATGAGCGACGAGTTGCGCCACGACTGCTTGAACGGGTCGGAAAACGTGGGCACGGCCATGGATTTGGCGACCCACGAGTTCATTATGCATGCGATTTCCTTGTACTTGCGCAGCTTGCTGTGCAGCGACGACTGCTTCTCGGAGCTCGCGTCCTTCATCGTCTTGAAGATCGTCGCCACGTCCTTCCACGGCAAGAGGTTCTTGCTCGTTGCAACGAGCGCGCTCACGTCGTCTTCGTTGGTATGAGGCGCCGTGGCCTTCTTCTTGCCCTCGATCTGCTTGAGCTGCGACTGCAGATCTTGAATCTGCTGCGCGAGCTGCGTCGCCTCTTGCTTCTCCATCATGCGGAACCGCCGGTTGCGTTCGCGGTTGTACTGCTTCTTCTTGTCGTACGCGTCGGTCGACGACGTCTTGGCCGTCTTGGTAGGCGCACCGCACTTGGACGCCGGGCTCGACACGGCGCTGCTCATCGACGCATTGTCGCCCGTCACGTACTCGAAGCGGCTGGCTGCGTCCGGTGCGGGCTCCGCGATCGGGATCGGCGGCGGCTCGGACACGGACGCGAGCCACTCGAGGTCGACGTCAAAGTCGCATCCGGGCGCGGCTACCTGGCCCATGTCCATGTCGATCATCTCGTCCGAGCTGTAGCCACAGGAGGCCATGTCGGCCAGCGAGAAGGGCGAGGATGGGACGCTCGCCATGCTGCGTCGTCGTCTTCCAGTCTGTGAATGAGCGTTCGGCGGGGTCGCATTAAATACAAATATATCGTATCTCTTTATAAAAATAGTCGCGGATTGCCCTTTGCATGCATGCATGACCCACCTGTTTTTATTACGCGCTTGGATTTAAATACAGATGCGTCCGGATAACGACGTGGTATGCGGCCGACTGGATGTTTGTATACTTTGGATGAAGCCGGTGCTACCGTATGCCACGTATGGTATTTTAATGCATTTCTTAATTCCACATAGACAAAACGAGATATTATAAAAACATCGAGAATGATCGATGCCCGACCCAAGCAACGCGACGGTCATTGGTCCTCCACTCGACGCTGCTAGAAACCGAGTATTTCTCAAAAACCCCGCAATTTGCTCAAATAGTCGCAAAATCCACACGATTGAGGAATACGTGGATCGGATTGGCTTAAAGAAGAGAATTAAGGGGTTGTGATTGGCTTGTTTGTGAGTTTGTGTTTTTTTGCGAATATACGAGGTAAATTACGGAGTTTTAAAGAAATTCACAACAGAAACGTGTACAGCTTGGCCGTCTTAAAAGTCACTACTGGTACCGTAGTAAAGCACATCTTACGAGCACCCTGTTGTCGTGGCTGATACCACTGGATCAAGACCACCTTTTTGGATGACGTGTTGCGAGGACCATCATCGCCATCACAATCCTGCACGGCTTCGAGTCGCCAAGCTATCACTCGCCCCGGCGCATACGGTATGGTTGGACGATTGTGCTGAAACGAAAGGTGACAAGGCCTGACGAGGCCAGCACCCGCGCCCACGTCGTCGTCGGCGGGGAAAAGGCCGTCGACGGATGCAATCTAGCGGTTGGAGAATGTTGAGTGCATGGATTCGATGCAAGAACATTCTGCGGGTGAATTGGCGTTGCCCAGGGTGTTGCCCTTGCGGTTGAGCTGCGATCTGCCTTGATCAATGGTGTGTGCGACACAACTAGGTTGTCAGTGACAATCTCGAGGAGCTATCTCGAGGGTGACTGCTAGACACCCTCGGAAGCGACATTGAGAGCGACGATGGAGCGTGCAGTCGCCACGTCGCACGGAGCTAGCATGTGCAATCGCTGCAACGACAATCATACAGTGCTTCCCAAACGAACGGGGTGCAACATTGAACTTTAACTTTAGTCTACTAAACTACACGAAACAACTAGCAAGGCGCGCTGATCCAGTGGCGGTCACGGTCGATTTGCGCCGCCGTGTGTGCGATCCATCCCAGCATCGAGTGGGCGAGTTCTTGGTGCTCGTCGAGGCGGCACTTGAGCTCGTGGTTCCGGCTGCGATCGAGGTCGGCGCGCGAGAGGCGGTCGGCCTCGGCCGGCGTCTTTGTGAGTGCGTCGAGCGTGGCCGTGAGCTCGACCACCTGCTGCTGGAGCAAGTCGGCTTCCTCCACTTCCCGACGACGGTACAAGCGCTGGCGCATGCGGTTGTAGAGGCGCTTGCGCTGGCCGGACGGGAGGTTCTCCACGTCAAGCGCATCGGCGGTTGCTGCGTTGTTGGCAGACATGCTGCTGTCATCATGGTCGAGACCAGCCATCCACGCCGCGTCCGAGCTCATGCTCTGCGTGATTTGCGTTGCCCAGTTGGCCATCTCGTGCATGAAGGACGAGTACTCGTGCATACGGCGCTTTAGTGACCGGTTCTCGACCTCGGCCGGGAGGAGCGAGGACGGACTCTGCGAGGGCCGGCCGCGGTGCTGGAGCCGCTGGAGCTCGAGCTCGAGCTCATGGATCTGGACTTTGAGCATTTGGCGCTCGTGGTTCTCGATGCGGCGGAGGTGCTGCTGCCGCTCGCGGTTGTACAAGCGCTTCTCCATGGCCTTCTGCGCCGCGTGCACGGGGCACTTGCGACTCGGTGGCCGCGCGTCCAGGATGAAGTTGATCGACGCTTTGTTCATGCTGCAAGAAGAACGACTGTGACCGCTGGCGCAGTGGCGAGCCACTCTGCGACACGCCGCCGGCGTTGAGTGCGCTTACATACACCATTTGTATGTGAAGCTCAATTGAATATCTTTGCAGTGCAATTGAGATGCCAACGACGAGCCATCTGCTGGCGTCGCGAGCCCAACAGTAATCCAAATCTTGTTTACTTTCTTGAGTTGTCGCCACGTGTTTCGTCCGTCGAAGCCGACCCGACAAGGGTTTTGCCCACGTTTTGCCCACGCCGATGGCGATCGAGGGAGGGCGATCGCTCTCGCACGGCGCCGACCGACGACGATCCACAGCCAACGCTGTCTTATCGACAGGATGGCGCCGGCTCGGTCTGCTGTCGCCACCGCTGCCACTGCAAAAGGGTCGACCATGGCTGGGGCAAAACCGTTCGGAGCTGGGACAAAGTCTCTCCTGCGCGTTTTGTCACGCGAGGTACTAATCGGAGCCTGCGATGCCCCGTCCCCAGCTGGCGCAAGATACTTTCACGCGTTGGCGTTCGCGAAGCGCTTCGTGTCGGTGGCGACTGGCGATGGCTGGTGCAGTGCCGCATAGAGCAAGAACTTCACTGGACTCGAAGGAAGGAGTTGTGATATGTTTTTCTTTTTGTGGTTGATCGCTTTGGCCAGTGAGGGGGTTGATCGCTCTCGGTGATCCTTGCGGCCGTCGATGATTGGTATTCTGGGTGATAGTTTAGCAACGAGACCCGAGCGGTGTGGGACGATCGCTCATCGGTTGATTGGTCGCTGAACGCGCCACGAACGTGCTGTGCGACGCTCTGCCACCGAGAGAGCGTTTTGACGACCATACGAGCGCGTGTTCACGCAGACATACCAGGAAGATGGCGCCAGAAGGCTTTCTTCCAGTCGACTGATTGCTGACCGCTGGTTTTGCTCTCGAAGGAAATTCCATCGCAGGAGGCCAGTCGCACTGAAACCAAGATGATGGTCATCGTCTGATGCGAAACGACGGCATGCGCAACGGTGATTGGCTAAAATTGAAATACGTTTATATTTTGGATTTGTCGTTCAAGATTCTAATCACGCGTGTCACGACCGCGTAGTACTGTGCGGGGTAGGGTAGGACGATTAGTTGACCATGACTACTCGTCGATACAGAAGTACCAAGGTAGCATAACGCATAACGCAATAGACTTTCGCTGCGCTTGCTGTTTCTTCCTGGGACACTTGAAAGCGTGGCGACGCAGCGAAGTCTTCTTGTCGCGCAGCTGAACCAGAAAGTCGTCAGGCTCTTTCTTTCGAGACGATGAATGCAAAGTAGTGTAGCAGTTCTGACAAACACAGACGTAACTCGGCGGCCGGCTCGTCGTAGCACCTTGGAATCGCTAGTCCACCACCATATCCAGTTCAGGGTAAATTATACTAGTATTCGAATAGACTCACTTCAACAACAAACACAGACGTGACGCACCTCTGCCTGGCCCTGCACACCAAGGGGATAGAACCTGGCTGCACACGAACTGTACTGTATTAGAGTACCGGTTCCAGGCCAATCGCTGCCTCCAGCCATCACCACGTCGTTGGCATGGCCGTGCTACGATACACTGCACGACGTCAACTCCAGATATCTGTCGGCGTTTCAGTTTCGAGTGTTCAAACGTCAGTAGACGCGCGTACTGGGAGGCATGGCTGCTTCTGACGAAGCTGCAGACCATTCATTGGCTCTGTCGCGTCGTACTGCACGTCTGTTGGGTTTACTGCGCCGATTTTCTTTACACAGCGAGCCATGCTAGGTAGGCTGTACGGCGGTCGAAACAACATCGTGGAGAGGCGATATGGCATGTACCTGGGCTCGGTATTCTTGGTCAAGCAAGAGCCTAGCCTTTCTTCCAGTCCTCTCCAACCTCCAGTAACGTTAGTGGGAAACGAGCTGTTTGTGGTCTCGTCCTCGTGCGGTTTCGTTTGGCAGAGATGCTTGGTCGGAGCTGCTGGTCTTCTCGCCGATTCGAAACACTTCAGAATGGACGGTGCTGAAGCTACTCGAGCGCGTACTGCAAGTAGCTCGAGCGTGCGTGAAGTCGAGATTGTGCCACGTGGGCGATGCTGTCTGCGTATAGGGCGGGCGCCCACATGGTCCTCCACCATCGGACGCACGACGAGGAAGCGGGCGCTCCATCTGCTCGGCTGTGCGATCTTCCAAGCGCGCGCGGTGACCCCACGATCCGTCGTGGTTTCGATCCGCTGCCCTTCGCGCCCACGTTGCCTTTCGCAGCTGTCGCGCCCGCTGATTGGTGCAACTTGACAGGGGAACTGGGAAAGAAAGGGTGTCTAATGACTTTTACCTACTTGAACGCCAAGGACGTCAAACGCAATAGGGTAAAATGAAGGCGCCGCGCGGCGGGCATGCGGTGCATTTCAATCGTACATTGCTATCGCACGTGCATCCAGCGTTAGTGTACTGGCTTTTACTGCGCGTACGCGCCCTCCAGCGCGTGCAATCCAGCACACGCGACGTTGGCCAAGTGCGTTAAATGGTTTGACCCAGAAAAACGCAGCCAACGCCAGTGCTGGCTTTGCAACCCACAATCAGACAAGCACGCCGACGACGACGACGATGTCGGCGATCCGATGGAACCCATGGGGCGTCAACTACGCCGGGAAGGAGATCGAGCAGATGCAATTCGTGCACCGCGTGTACCTCGAGGCGATGGGCATCGAGGCCATCGACCTGCCGCCGACGCTGCAGATGAACGCGACGTTCACGGCCCCGCTCTACGTGCCGACGAAGGCGTCCTTTGACGAGCACACGTTTGTACGGCAAATGCAAGGCGTCGTGGGCTTGCTGCGGCAGCCCGCGGAAGAGATCATCTCGTGCATCTGCGGCTACCAAAAGGAGCGCGCAGACCGCTTCCAGTTTGGCTCGGCCTACATGAACGACCCGCGCACGCTGCTGCTGGAAGAGATCAAGGAGTGGGCCATGTCGCGCCTCGCGCCGGCTTCATGCACGACCGAGTCGATCGAGCGCGACGTCGAGAAGCGCAAGAACTACATCACACAGCTGCAGTACGTGGGCGGCGACCTCTTTGCGCCCGGCAGCGGCGAGCGCTCGCTGCTCAAGACGCTCAAGGACATTCGCGAGATCCTTGAAAACCGCGTGCTGCCGACGATTGCTTGCGAGCGCGCGCAGGCGAGTGCGAAGGACCATTTGACCGTCGTCGAGGCGCGCGCCACGGACGCGCTCATCCACGGCGTCCAGTTCCTCTTCAACGTCTTCCGCAACACGAGCAATGCG